CTCTCTCTCTCTCTCTCTCTCTCTCTCTCTCTCTCTCTCTCTCTCTCTCTCTCTCTCTCTCTCTCTCTCTCTCTCTCTCTCTCTCTCTCCAAGAAGTGTAGAGAGGGAAACTAGCTTCTTCGGAGCTGTTGACGATTATTGGAGGCTTCACTAGCTCCCTCCTCTTTCTCTTCACTCTCACTCACTGTAAGTCCTCCTCTTTCCCCTTGTAGTCTATTGCAAACCTGATCCGATTCACTAATTTGAGATCAAGTGGGTTTTGTTTGTGTGTGACAATCTGCTTCAATGTAATTCCTTTACTATTGGGAATCTCCAGGACTCTTCTTAGTAGCTGGGGTGCAGGCAGGTAGTAGGTTTCTCTCTTTGTCATTACCTGCACCAATGATATTATGGTGTGAAATAATATCAGATGTCTTACTTAATCGATCTGTTTTGTTTTGGGTCAATTCAATGTTATCGAGTTTATTGCGGAAATAATAGCTCTGGTTGCTGCTAGCACAGTGCATCGAGTTTGTATTACAACCTGGTAAGACTGGACCCTAATTCTGCTCAATCGTAAAATGATAACACTATTTCCTATCTCTCTCTGGCTAAAAAGCTGTGATTGCTTTTGTGGTTCAATGTTTGTGTTTGGCAGTTTCTTGTTCTTTGCTGGGCTGTTATACAAGATCTCAGGATACATGCTCTCCAAAGCTGAGTCAAAATCTAAAAGACACTGAGATCAGAGCATATCCAAGTTTTTTGCTTTATCTTGTTCAGCACTAAAAGATTCAAGGATACTCTTACTGCAGCATCTTTTGCTTTGACCTTGTGGATTTTGTAGTTGTGTGTTTATGAGTCTAAGGAGGATACTTGAGCACTATATTAGTCATTATGGCCTTGTTCGTTTAAGAGTATGTTAGTGATTGCAACCTGTGATCTCGTAAATCATAGATTGTTGTTCCGGCGGTTTGTGGTGACAACTAAACACATAATCTGCTCCAATGGCTACATCCAAGCCTTCTCTCGACGACTTAGAATTTTTTGGGTTCTGGCTCTCTCTCTCTCTGCTGGTGCTAAAACTGAAATCTACTTTAAACCGAACTCATAACCTAATTAGAAGTTAGAACCCATGAAAACCAAAAAGTCGGTTTGGAACTTTGTTTTGGTTTGCTTTATTTAAGAGCGTGTGATTTTATGCTTCTTATTGGCTTGGAGGGTCTGTGGCGGGAGCGGGAAAACCCAGAAAACGTCGTCATACAAGGGGTTTATAACGGAGTCTCGTCCCTCTCTCTCCCTCGTCACTGGAACAGAGAAGCTGAAAGCTCTATCACTGTAAAAGAGAGAGAGAGAGAGAGAGAGAGAGAGAGAGAGGAATGGCGCCAGTTCTAGAGAGTACACAGCCATGGGTTGAGAAATAGTCCGAATAGTAATAATCGACTGTGTACGTATATTTTTATCCGATAAACTTTGTTATGCTCTCTCTGACTACTGGGACTAGATTTAACCATGACGCCTTTCATTTCTTAGTTGCAAATTAGTCGTTCTATATATTCATAATGCAGTCGCAAAATAGTCACTATTGTTTGCAACTTATCTGATACTTACCAAAATAATACGGTTGCTTATATGTCACAAACATTTATCACTACATTAGGACTGCATAAACTAAAGTAGAAGTAAATTAGCCATAAACATTTTATGAAATAAAACAGTTCCTAATTAGTCACAGCAATATAAATATTCGCAACTTTTGTTCGAGTTGTGGTATAGTTGCTAATGTACAACTAATTTTAACATCGCAAGTTCGTTGCAAAATATTAACGGATTTGCAACTGCTTTCATTTGCGACGAAGCTTTTCTAACTATATATCGTAGTCACAGATACGTAACAAGTTTAATATTTACAACCATTTAGTGACTATGTATGTAGTTGCGAAATCCATGTTTTCTTGTAGTGTGTCGTCTGAGAAACATACTTAAAGAGTAAAGCTATGATCATGTCGAAGTTTGAATCGGCTAATTAGGAGCTGAGAATCTGCTCCCAGTTGTTAGAAAAAAGTTCCAACGAGTATTGTCGATATAATGTTTTAGCTAACTTCATGATTTCGGGTTAATATAGATGCTGATGATATTCTGAAATTTATGGATATCTTATTCATACCCACACATAACCGAGAGGAGTATAGGCGTAGCAAGTTACTACAAAGATAAGGACAGTGAGGGAAAATAAAGAAACAAATTTGGTATAAATCAAACTAATTGTTTCTTACGCATTCCTTAATATGAATCGCTAGACGATGTTTTGCCCTTTATGTCGAACTCTTCTACTGAGTTAAATTTAGGTCCTGGTAGTGCGTCAGGCCTTGGCTCTGCACATGTTACTCCTGAAATTTCACCAACATCATGATGGCAACATCAATGTTTGTTACTCTTGCCAATACATCAAGGAAGATGCCTTTTGAGGGCATGCTAATTCATATCGCATAAAGTGAAAAACAAACGGTAACATCGAGATAACGTCAATTTGTACAAAACCTTTGTTATAATCGCATATAACCAAAAAAACAAAAACCAAAAATCGCATTTAACCCAAAAAAATAGACTCACCTCTTTTGGCCCTATAAAACAACCTCCAGAATAGGTATATAAGAAAAAGAATTGCTCCCAAGATGAAGGCGCCTAAGCCTAAAAACATCATCATCTTCTTCGGCATTGTGTGTTATACCGATAACTTAATTCTTTGTACAAATTGATCAACCAAGAATGCAAGTAAATGGTATATCAGAAACTATCGTATATATATACCCAACAAGTAAAGCGTCAACGCAGATGGGAAGTGGGAACTCAAAAACTCAATTGATTTCTTTTAAATGACCTAACGTGGTAGACCAAAAGAATTTGACGGATAGATCTATAATTAATGACCGTGGTAGTTAATTTTTATGACGAGACTTATATGAGCTGGTGTTCATTCAATAATAAATACTCCGGATAATATAAATATAACGTCCGGATTCTAGACGCAAAGTCAAAACTATTAATTGGCACGACTTAACGTTACTCCCTCCATTCCTAAAAAATCCATGGTCTGGAAAATATTTTGTTTCAAAAAGATGTATATTCTATGTTTTCTAAGAGAAAATTACAAGTTTCAAAAAAATTAATTGGTTTTATTAGATTACTATTGGCTAAAAGTTGTTGAAAATTGAAAATTACTGAAAACGATAGTGATTTAATGTGTTTTCTTAATATGTGTGAAAACGCTAGAAAATCTATCTTTTAGGAACAGATGGAGTATTTGTTTTTGTCGATTATAGTGTACTACTTTCGTTTATTGTTCTCGGTTGTTGCAAAATTGATTCGGCTATTGTTTTCATGTTATTTATTTGGCTTTTATGTATTTTCATTTTGTCATATATTCTTTCGATTCTAATTTATTTGTCGTTTTAGATTTTTTAAAATAAATTAAAAAAATATTTAATTGTGCATATTTTTTAGAAAAAAAGAGTTATCTATACATCTAATCATATTTCAACCATTTGAAAAATATAATACTCCCTCCATTTATAATAAGTATCGTTATAGAGAATTTTTTCATTACAAAATAAATATCGTTTCCGGTTTTCAATGCAAAATTTATTAATTTTATTTTGTAACTTATTTTCTATTGGTTAAAATGTGGTTAAGTGTATAAGTAGTTGTATTTTTATATAGGAAATATACAAATTAATTATTTTCTTAATCCATGTGCAATCCGTGTGCATAACTCTAAAATGACACTTATAATGAAACAGCAGGAGTATTAGATCAAATCAATAAATTTTTCATTCAAATTATAAAAAGACACTTATTTTAAAAAGAAAATTTTAATCTACAACGACACCTAAATTAAAACAGAGGAAGTACTACTAATATGTTGAAAATATAACTAGAAAATAATCTCGTAAGAGCATTATCGCATACTAGTTTCCTAAAAAAAGGTCCTCTTGCAGATAACATTAATATTTTAATGCAATTTATTTGTTTTATTAAATTACTAAATTCGTAATGAATGAAAAGATGACACATATACATAAAAACATCGGGAGAGGTTTGTAAGGTATGGCTGTTGAGTACATTTCTTAGAGCACCCCCATCAAGGGATGATGGGGGGAATTCACACGCAAACCAAAAAAAAAATATATATTAAAATCAGATTTCTATGAATTTCTCTTTGAAAAGTTCACTGCTATGAACCCCGATGACTCCGGGTTCACTATGTGTCAGTCTTTGATTGGTCCATTATTATTATTTTTTTTTTAAAAAAGTAAAAAAAAAGTTAATTTTTTATTTGTGTGAACCCCTGGGGAGGAGTTCACTGATGTGGATGCTCTTATATCTCTCTCCTAATTTTATTTTTCTAATTAATTTTATTGTTTAGAATATTTACAACAATTAGTTTTTGAGAAAGTATCTAAACATTAACTTTTTTTTATAAAATAGATATAGTAGAGGAGAGAAAAAAACACTAGCTCTCTGAAATCTCTGAATTTGTAGACTTATCTGCCCCATGTATCATCTTTCTAATGATTGACTAATTTTTTGTTAATTTTTTTTTGCTTTTGTTAATTATATTATTTATCTTCTGCTTTTGAGAATCTTAAGTGAATTTTAACCATTGAAATTTCTCTTAAGACATTCCACCACATACTATAGACTTGCTCTAATTACCTTTTCTCCAAAGACTAGACGATCCTATAAACTACGGATCCACTCAACTTTTGATCGTTTTTTCTTTGACTGATACCGGTTTGGCATGGGTTGTACCCTTCCCCTTTCATGTTCCTTGTTAGTTATAGGTCAGACTAGCAGGATAGGATTCAAGGTTTTGGCCTCAGATAAATGTTGGAGAAAGAAAAAATGGCCGATGCTATTGCCCTTCTCCTCCGATGTATTACACCAAAATACGTGATTACATTATGAAAATAAAAATATTATGAAGAATAGGATGTCCTTGTAAAGTAAATGGGTAATCACAAGTTTGAAAACGTTCTGGTGTTCTCAGCCCTTTTCTCAGCACTTAACGCATAGGATTAAAATACGCGATTGATTTTATTTTTGTCAACAAAAAGCCCTTTTCTCAGCCCAATTTCCTCTGCCAAAGAATTACAATCAGAGGAATAACGTTCATGCTAAAGGAAAAATAAGATATACCACTGGATATCACACCCAAGGGCAGCTTTCTTGAAATACCAAAACTAACATTAGATGATTTTTTCAGCCCTTTTTCGCTCCACGGAGAAGACAAGGTATGTTACTTTGATCTTAATTTTGTCATTTTATTTATGTTTTATACGTTATGCACCCACTACGAAAGTTTCTTAGCCCATGTCTGGAAATGCAAACTGAATGCATCACTAGAGTTAAGTTATCGTGCATCAAAAGTACCATAATCAAACTTGTACAAAACAGATTAAGATTTGTTCATTTCTTTTACCGAAGTTAAACATAAATATTCACTAGACTTTTGTTGTTAGCAAAAAAACAAGGCCAAAAAGTATGGGACAATGTGGTCAGGTGGTAAAGAAAATGGGTTGAGAAGTTAAGACGTTTTAGGTTTGAATTACCTGCGGTATGAAATTAAGTCACACTATTTCTGCACACCTATACAGATATGAACCAATATTTCCGGGTCCTTTTGTATACCTGAAAAAAATAATCTATTTGTGGACTACATCTCTCTTTAAGAATTAGTTTAGATCCTTTCATAATGTGAATATCCCATGTTAATTAAAAAATAAGGGAAAACTGATGGATCTTCGAGAGAAAATACTCGATAGAAGACAATTTTATTTTAACTTTCGATGGACAAACATTTGTCTGTTAGAAATACATTGGATATATATTCCTATTATTTTGAACTGGATACGTTGGATATCTCCGAATAGTAATAAATCGATTGCGTATATTTTTATCAACAAACGTTGCTATGCTCCCTCTGACTACTAGGACTGGATTTCACCATGACGCCTTTCATTTCTCTCCAGCCAAACATGATAATCTTTCGCCTGAAAAACATATGTAAAGAGGAAAGCTTTGATCTTGTCGAACTTTGAATTGCCTAATTAGGAGCTGACAGTTTGTGCTCAGTTGGTAGAAAATGTTCCATCAAGCAATCTCGGTTAAATGTTTTAGCTAACTTAATTTTACCTATGGAACGAACATCCATATACATCGTGATTTTTCGGGTTGATAAAATAGTTAATAATATGATGGCCGGAAGAATATACTTCCTCTGCTTCGGTCCAAAACCTGCACTGACTATAGTATAATAATAAATTTGACGTTTCATCGATAAAATGTACAAACGCTTTGTTATAATCACATAGAACAAAAAAAAATAGACTCACCTCCTTTGGCCTCATAAAACACCCTCCAGAGTAGGTATACAAGACAAAGAATTGCCCCCAAGATGAAGGCGTCTAAAAGTAAAAGCATCATCATCTTCTTCTGTATTGTGTTTTTTGTTTGTTATAGAAATTGATCAACTAAGAATGCAAGTAAATGGTCACCAGAAACTATATATGTAAAGATACCCAACAAATAAGTAAAGCGTCAACGCGGATGGGAAGTGGGTACTCAAAAACTAAATCGATTTCTTTAAATGACCTAACGTGCTAGATCAAGAATTCGACAGATTAGTCTATAATTAATGACCGAGGTAGTTTGTTTTTATTGAGCTGACTTATATGAGCTGCTGTTCAGTCAATAAATATAAACTAGATTTTGACCCGCGCTTCAAAAACGCGGGTTTTTGTTAGATTATAAACAAATTTTGATATGATTTAGTATTTTAGAAATGATGTACATTATTAGGCTACAAATCTTAATATATAAAATAGATTTTTTGAAAAATTATGTAATTTATAAATTAGTTTATTTGAGATTTTATATGTAAGTTTTTAATGTAACTCTCTCTAGGTCTTGACATTTTATCCGGATCGAAAAACACGACCAAACCGACCCGAAAATATAGGTTCGGCTAGGATCCATGATAAAGTACTTACTGGCTATCTTTAAAGACCCGCAGGAATCGATTCTANGACCCGAAAATATAGGTTCGGCTAGGATCCATGATAAAGTACTTACTGGCTATCTTTAAAGACCCGCAGGAATCGATTCTAGTATGGATCATAACCGAGACCCGATCGGGTACATAAAAGCACTCAATATTTTTTTTATTATATATGTTTGGATATTTCATATATGTTTTTGGTATTATGTATATTCTTTTAAGTTTTAGTTACAGTTTTAGTTTTCGGCTAGGATCCATGATAAAATACTTATTGGCTATCTTTAAAGACCCGCAGGAATCGATTCTAGTATGGATCATAACCGAGACCCGATCGGATACATAAAAGCACTCAATTTTTTTTTTTTATTATATATGTTTGGATATTTCATATATGTTTTTGGTATTATGTATATTCTTTTAAGTTTTAGTTACAGTTTTAGGTTTCGGGTTCTAAAATATATATATATATATATATATTTTGTTTTGGATATTCAAATCAAATTTTTGGGTATATTTTGTTTTTCGAGTCAAATTAGGTAAAATTCAAGGTTTTCAGATATTTGAATATATTTTGAGTATTTATTTATGGTTTGAAGTATTTTTCAAATATTTTTCGGGTTTATTGGTATTTTGAGTCCTAACTATCCAAGCCTACCCG